AGAGAGAGAGAGAGAGAGAGAGAGAGAGAGAGAGAGAGAGAGAGAGAGAGTGAGAGAGAGAGTGAGAGAGAGAGAGAGAGAGAGAGAGAGACAGACAGACAGACAGACAGACAGAGAGGAGAGCAGAAGCGAGGCGAGCAGAGCAGAGCAGAGCAGAGGGATGGAAGGGTAGCAGAAATGCAGCTTGGGGGTACTTGAGCAGAAAGACTTTAAAAGGGGAAGGGGATGGTGGAATAAGCTGAGGAGATCTCGATCATGACGTCGATCACGTCGAAGAAAGCATCACACAGTCACACGGTGTCGAGCCTCGTTTCTCTCTTGTTGCTGGCGTTCAACTTTGTTCATTCCCAAGCTCGAAAGGACAAGCGGAGAGCATGCATCGGGGTGCTGACAGTCCTCTTGGTGGTCACCTTCATCGGGTTTGTGTACAACGTGATCCTGAGGAGCCCTGTCATCTTCCTCAAGCTCGCTGAGACTCAGGTGGGGGAGACGGACATGGTTATCTTTCCGAGCCTCAACCGACTGGATCCTCTCCTCAACCTGGACAAGCAGATGGAGCAGGTCGACGTGTACCCCTTCTTCAATGCCTCTCAAGTCCGCGACACGCTCTCTGACATCCCGCAAGTCTTCGGCGTGTCTCCTCGTTGGATCGTCCGGGGATCGATCGCTAGCAGCAGGGAGCCGAGCAAGCGCGTGGTGACCTACATTCTCGTGTGCGACTTGGAAGAGGAGGAGAGGATGGGGGTGGGACGCGCATGGCCGTACAGGAGGCTCGGGGCCTTGGAGGCGCATGTGACTGCGTCTGTCCTCAAGTCTCTCAAAGTTCGTCCGAATCGCGGGGATCGCGTGCTGATCGACATGGGTATGCAGAAGCTTCTCAACTCCTTCGGGGTCAACGCAGACGCTCTCAAGCAGCTTCTCTTCCGCTCTGTGCTGGAGGACGGGGTCACAGTCAGGCTCAACGGGACGATGATCCGCCTGTACCTGGAGGAGCAGGGCTTCCTGGTCCCCCCCGGGCTCATCAGTGACACCATCGTGACGCGGCAGCCAGTCTCGTCCCTCGTCAACGTCGACCGACTGATCGAGGCGAGCATCGAGGGCGTCAAGCGAGGAGAGCTGATGAACCTCGACGTGTCTGTAGCCGACGCCATCGAGAACTCCTACGAGAAGTGGCCGCCCATCGGGAATATCGTGCTGCTGGAAGCCAAGTACTTCTTGCAGGCTGTGAAGGCCTCGATGAATCAAGTGCCGCTGGTGCAGATGCTCAACCTCGGAGTGCTGGTGAACCGAACTGGCAACGTAGAGGAGGCCCTCCTGCTCACAGAGACGCCCCTCACGGACGAGTGGCTCAACTTCAACCTCATGGATTACGCTTTCCTCGTGCTGGTCCAGTACCGTGACCGATACATCGCCTACCTCAAGAGCGAGGCCGGTCGACTGTCCGACATGGTCAAGTTCTCAAACGAGGTCGGAGAGAAGCTTGGGTTCACGTCCAACCTCTCCATCACCCTCCCCATCGCCACGGCTCTGCAGCCTCTCATGTTTCTGCGCGTCTTCCTGCAGCAGATTTTCAACGCTGTCGTCGCTGTGCTGGTCGTCCATGGCTGCATCACCGTCTACTCGCTGCTGCTCACCGACGTCAACGCGCGCACCTACGAGTATGGCATGCTCAGGGTGATGGGCTTGACCAAGACCTCCCTCCTCACCCTCCTCCTAGTCCAGGCCCTCTACTATGCCGTGCCCGGCCTTCTCCTCGGCCTGCTCCTCTCTTGGGCTGCTTCTTTCCCCGCCATCGATGCCATCTCCAAGTACGCATTAGTGTCCTTGGACTACAACCTGGAGGCCATGGCGCTGACGTCGGCGATCGCCATCGGGATAGCGATGCCGCTGGCAGGAAACATCTTCCCGATCAAGCGAGCTCTCTCCCGCACCCTCGCCGAGAGCTTGGACGTCTACCACAAGACCCACGCGGAAACCATCGTGCATTTCCAGCGGCTAGCAGACCTGGGCCTCTCTCCCTCCCAGGTGCTTCTCCCTTTCCGCTTCACGCCTGACAATGCTGCAGACGTTCGGAGCCGTGGGGATGGTGGTGACGGGGGTCCTGATCTATTATGTCATCCCGCTCTCCTTCCTCCTGCAGAACTTCAGCCTCCTCCTGTCCTCGCTCAACTTCATCCTCCTCGGAACTGTTGCCGGATTGATCCTCCTCTCCGTGCTTCTCCAGCCCACGGGCGAGTGGCTCGTGGCGCAGTTGATCATGCAGGGGGAGGACAGGAGGTTCTTGGACATCGTGCTCAAGAATCTGACGTCGCATCGGCAGCGGAGCATGAAGACGTCGCTCATCTTCTGCTCGACCCTCGCGTTCATCGTCTTTGCGGGCTCCATGTTCTCGCTGCAAGCTCACTCCATCATCGGCAACATCAAGGTCCTCGGCCCCTCCGCTCCTGGCGCCTGACGAGCGGCAGGTGGCGTTAGGGAGCGACATCAGGATAGAGAGCAGTCAAGGGCCCCTTAAGGAGTCGAACCTCTCCTCCTTCCTCCTCCGCGAGCGCCTCCGCCCTGACAGCTGCGTCCTTGACTTCGCCTGGGCCTCTTGGCCCTTGTGGAACGTGGATCCTCCAGTCTCTCGCGTGATCATGGGAAACATGGTACCCCTCCTCGTCTCTCGCTCCTCGTCTCTCGTTGTTCGTCTGACGCGGTCCGGCAGGTTGGGTTTCCCCAGGGCTTCAACGCTGAGACTGTCGCCATCTCCGACAACTATCTCGACGTGACCTACAGCGAGTTCTTCGTCCCTCTCAGCGCCGACGGCTGCTCTCGCCAAGACTGCAGCAGAGGCCTGGACTTCACCGTCAACCCGAACCGCAATGAGGACCAGCTTGAGGTGTCTCTCCCTCCCTCTTGTGTCCTCGTCCTCCGCTCACTCTCGGGCTCAGGTCAATGTTCTCAGTGGAGCTCAGCACGCGTGCGAGAGGGTCCCTTCCTCTTGCAGGCCGCTGGAGTCGAGCAGGGCGAGGACGAGGCCTCGAGTAGCGGCACTGAGGCTGAGGAGAGGAGAGTGACGAGGCTGCGCAGGTTCGAGGGATCCTGCCGGCGAGCCTGGCGACGTCGATAGGAGCAGAAGTGAAGAGCCTCCTGGTGCTCGTGCTCATCGCACAGAACGAGCGCGAGTACTCCCCCTCGCGCTTCCGCAGGAACATCTTCATCGAACTGGAGCCTAAGGTCCTCGCCAAGAAGTTTCCTGGTGATGCTCCACCTCTGCTGCTTTTTGGCCTTCAAACGCAGAGATCTCCCCCCCTCTCTCTCTCCTTCCCCCCCCTCTCTCCTTCTCTCCCGCTCTCCTTCTAAGCCTACTCCCCCCCCCTCTCTCCTTCTCTCCCGCTCTAAGCCTACTCCCCCTCTTCTCCTCTCCTGCTGTCCTCTGGCTCTCAAGATTCGATCTCAGGTTTCTTCTTCTCCTCCTATGAGGCTGCCACCTCTGTCTCCGACCCTCCGGTACGCCTGAGCCTCTAAACCAGAAACCTCAAGTCCTCTCCCTCCCACTTGTCCTGCCTTGCTCTCTTGCTGTCTTCCTTACTACCACTGCAGCTCTTGGTGAACGAAGACACGTGGCAGAAGCTCTTCGACCTTGCGGTGGAAGCAAGCAACTTGAACGCTACGGTGATTTCCTTGCCTCCTCGTCCTTGTCCGGTTCGCTGTCCTTGTTTTCATTTCTCTTCCCCACTTGAGTTCATCTCTGCTCCTCTTCTTCGCGTGGCTGCGCGTCGCTTCCTCTTCCTTCCTCGTCCTCATGCTCTTGTAGAGACTTGGGCTTCCGAAGAGACCGCCCAAGCGAACTCTCCACATCCGCCTCAAGGAGACGGCAGACGAGCAGGAGCGAGTGGATCTGATCAACAGCCGTGAGGAGGGAGAGGCAGAGGGAAGAGAAGTGACACCCCTGCGACTAGTTCGCCCCTACCTGGAGGAAAGCACGAGCATCAGCGACACCCTACAGCTTGTGGAAGTCACGTCGGGGACGGTGAGTGAGTGAGTGAGTGAGTGAGTGAGTGAGTGAGTGAGTGAGTGAGTGAGTGAGTGAGTGAGTGAGTGAGGGAGGGAGTGAGTGAGTGAGTGAGTGAGTGAGTGAGTGAGTGAGTGAGTGAGTGAGTGAGTGAGTGAGTGAGTGAGTGAGTGAGTGAGTGAGTGAGTGAGTGAGTGAGGGAGGGAGGGAGGGAGGGAGTGAGTGAGTGAGTGAGTGAGGGAGTGAGTGAGTGAGTGAGTGAGTGAGTGAGTGAGTGAGTGAGTGAGTGAGTGAGTGAGTGAGTGAGGAGTGAGTGAGTGAGGGAGGGAGGGAGGGAGGGAGGTTGTTTTGGTTTTGAGTGCAGGGCAGGTCAACATGATGATGCTATTCTTCTACTTGATCGCTTTCATCGCTTCCGTCCTCTGCTTCTTCATGCTCTTCATCACCTTTGAGGTTCAGCCACGATCGGGAGGAGGAGGACCCGAAAGTGACAGGAGAACAGGCGAATGTGCGAGAGAACCTGTGGGAGTTCGGAGTCCTCAGAGCTCTTGGCATCAGTGCTAACGAGGTCCCCTTGTTTGCTTCCTCCTCGTCCCCTCTGCTTCCTCGACCCCCCTTCGCGCGCTTTCTCCCTCTAACTAAGACTTGCTCTCCTCCTCCATGCTCTCACTGCCTCCTCACCTTCTCTTCCTCTTCCTCACATTTCTCGTCAGCTTGCTCGCATCTTCGTCTACGAATCCTTGAGTATGATCATCTCAGCCATCGCCATGGGCTCCACCATCGGCCTCGTTGTCTCCTCGACCCTCACCTTGCAGCAGGTGACCCTCTGCTCTCGTCATAATCTGCTTGTCGCTGATAGTCGTCGACAGAATCTCTTCACGGAGATGCCTTTCCTCTTGATCTTCCCCTACTGGCTCTTCATCTCCGTCATCGGTACTCGACCTGCTCTCCTCCTCTCGCTCACTCGCCGCCAGTCCTCTCCCTCCTCGTCGCGGCTTTCGGGGCTCTACTGCCGGTAAGAGCAGGAGGAGGCGAGAGGGATGACGAGGGAGAAGAGGAGCAGGAGGGGAGGGGAGGTCAGAGAGTAGGGATGAGGGACGGGAGGATGAGGGACGGGAGGATGAGGGACGGGAGGATGAGGAACGGAAGGAGCTAATGAGGAAGCAGGTCAGGAAGATGCTTCGATGCTCGATCTCGGAGGTTCTCAAGAAGACATGAGGAAGCGGAAGGCAGGTGCTGGACGGGAGCTGGACGGGAGCTGGACTAAGATCTACATTAGATACCACAGACATGTCATCATCATCATCATCATCACAAGCCTCATCCTCCCCGACTCCTTCCCCTCCAGTCGCCAAGTCCCTGACATCACAGTCGACACGTTCATATTCTGCCTGCCTGTCAGTAGCAGTCCCTCTCTGTCCCTCTCTCCCTCTTGCCTGATGCAGGAATGTCGCGCTCGCTGGCTCGGAAGTAAAGATGGGATCTGCCGGCCTCCTAGCGCCGGACTGAAGCTCCACGATCTGCGAGAGGGTAAGAAGAGAAGAGAAGAGAAGAGAAGAGAAGAGTAGAGGAGAGGGGAGGAGAGGGGAGGGGAGGGGAGGGGAGGGAAGAGAAGAGAGGAAGCAGTTGTGGTAGTGATGGTGGAGGAGGAGGAGGAGAGAAAGTAGTTCTTACGATGGCAACGAACTCTCCTTCCTCGATCTTTTTGTTCTGGTTCGTGTCCGCCTCGTCGAACATCGACTGCTGCTGCGTGTCTGTCGTCTGCATGATCGAGTCGTTAGAGTTCCTTCTCCACCCCTCTATCCTCCTGCTCCTCCTGCTGTTCCTTCTCCACCCCTCCATCCTCCTGCTCCTCCTGCTGTTCCTTCTCCACCCCTCCATCCTCCTGCTCCGTTCCTCCTCCCATCTCCTTCTCATCCTCCTCTCGTTTCCTGCTCCTCTTCGATTACCGTAGGGAACAGGATCTTGAGGTCTCGCAGAAGCACGTAATTCACTCCGAACACGTCGAACTGCTTCCACCCGGCAGCATTTCCATTCGCTACCAACTGCCGCAAGTCAGAAGGTTGGGAGGAGGCGGGGCGGTGAGGAGGGGAGGAAGAGGCGGGGCGGGGCGGTGAGGAGGACGTTGAGCGGCACCTGCAGCATCTTCTGCTTGATCGGGCTCTGCATCCACTCGTAGTACTTGGGTCGGAGCAAGCCAGCCACCACGAGCGAGTAGGCCTGCAACAAGATCAGCTGAGCTACAGCTTGGGGGAGGGGGGGGGGGGGAGCTGACCTGCTTGAGCTGCCCCTGGTACTGGTGGAGGGAGTAGGCGACGACGACGATGGTGATGGAGGACTCCGGATGCTGCTTGAGCTCGATCTTCTCCACGGTGGAGGTGAAGTCCTTGACCCCCTGCCTGAGCGCGTCGTTGCCGTAGTTGAGCTCGAAAACGAGGGTGGGCGAAAAGGTCCCGGTCGACGTGTTGAACTCCATCACCTGCGCCGTCCGCTGCACCACCAGGTCAAGATCGTTCACGAGAGGAGCCGAGGAGCCGAGGGTGCTTGGAGGGTCCGTGTAGGCCAGCGTGATGCGGAGAGGCTGCTCGCCGTTCATGGCGAGCAGTCTGAAGGTGTAGGTGTGCATGTAGCCCTGCTGATCAATCTCGTTCTCCTTCAGCCAGTAGCTCCATGCTGAGTCCCCGAACCACAGCGAGTCCACCAGCCTCGGCCTGCTGGCCAGTCACCCTCCCGTCTCCTCCTCCTCCTCCTCCTCCTCCTCCTCCTCCGCTTCTCCTCTCCTCACCTTCCGTACCCCTCGTACGCGTTCGGGGATGACGAGAGCGACACGCGAACCTTCTGAGGAGGAGGCTGCACCCACACGGGGCAGGTCTCGGGGTCAGCGCAGGCTGGTGGCTCCTGGTACTTGTCGACGATCACGCCGCCTCCGATGGAAGAAGCTCCGTTGACCACCATCGCCTTGAGAAGCGACGCCGATGGTCTCGTCCAGGACGCGCTGGGGCTGCGGAAGCCGGAGGGGTAGTACCCATCTGCAAGGTACTGCCGGAAGAGAAGGACGGCGCCTTGAGGGGAGAGGTCAGAGGAAGAGGAAGGGAGGGAGGCTAGAGGAAGAGGAAGGGAGAGAGCGGCTGACCTGCGATGAAGCCGGCTGAGATCGAAGTGCCGCTCGCAGAGATGACGGCAGCCATCTCGTCGTAATTGTCTGCTGCCGTCACTGAGCACCCGTAGGCGGCTGTCGAGATGCTCGACCGTCTTTTGCACTGGACGCCATTCGGCGTGTCTGTGTTGCTCTGCGTGTTCCCGTCGGAGTTGGCGGTGATCACCAGGTCTCCTGGCCCCACTACGTCTGGTTTGAACCTCCCGGCCCCGGGCCCTTCCGTCTTCCCCAGCCCTCCCCTCCCTGACCACTCCGGCACCTCGTTGGACTCGAAGGGCGTGCAGGTCGCCGCCGTGTCAGCGAACTTGCACTGCGAGCAGAAGTCGGAAACCTGCGAGAGGATCAGCACAAGCAAGGCAGGAAGCACAAGGAGCTCAAGCTCCTGCTGCGCTACCTGGGAGGCTCGGGTGTAGTTGACGCTACAGCAGGCAGCTTGAGCCTCGCAGCAGGTGGTGAGCGTGCAGGGGTACTCGGCCTTCCTTATCGTGATCTTTCCCGTCACGATCACCTTGTACAGCGCGAGGTTCCTGATGGCGATGCCGTAGCCCGAGTCGGCTTTTTTGAGGTTGGAGGTGTGTCGAACTACCCGAGAGAGCTTGTACCCCGTCTCATTGCATGGCTGGTTCAGGCAGAAGTGCATCAGAAACTCGTCATTGCAGCAGTTGATGGGCCCGTCTGCGTCTGAAGGGCAACCCTCGTACCAGAGCTGATCTCCAGGCTTCGGGTCTCGCTTGCACTGCACAGCAATCAGCTCGCCCTCTTTCCCACTTGTCTTACCTCCGCCAGGTGGCACGTGACGTCATCAAGCTCTGTGCTGCCTCCGTAGCTGACGGAGGAGCATCCGGGCTGAAAGAGATACTGGCTGATCTCCTGGCTGGCTGGTCGAGACAGACAGACTTCTGCCTTGGCAGACTGCTTCTGCTGCGACGTCATGCACGGGTTGGGACGCAGGCCGGTGGTGACGCCGCTCTCAAAGTACTCGAAGAAGTCCAGGCGAGAAAACAGCATCACTTGCACTCTAGTCGTCTCCAGCCCCGCGTTGGGGGTGGCGAAGGGAGCTGGCGTCGCTTCGATCTCGTACTGTATGCTCGACCCTTGCGACGCCCACTGGAAATTGTCCTTGACGTACTGCTGGATGTTGGCGTCGAAGATGCTCATGTTGGGGATATGGAGGGTGAACATCTCGTTGGCGGGGATCTCAACGCTGTTTAGCGTGTACTCCACCTGGACGGTGTCGTTGCAGCACGGGGGGATGGACTGCATGAGGGTCTGGTAGTTGGCAGAGGTCACGTACACGCCCTTGATGAAGTCTGACTTGCTGCACTCTCGCGGGTACGTGCATGGGCAGATGTCAGCGATGGGGTCGCGGTAGGTTGCGGCTACTCGGTACTCCTCGTTGAAGTTGTAGTTCGCCCCCACGCTGATGCAGTTCTTGCACGTAGCAGGCGATGCCACCGTGTCGTACGTCCAGAGAGCTCCTCCGTCCCCCACTGCAGTGACGACGAGGAAGTCCGGATGATCCCACATGAACTTGTCCACGTCCATGGCCTGAGCGTTGTAAACCGCACAGTAGCTGTGGTTCTGCCCTTGCGGCACCTTGCAGCCCCACGAGTCCAGGTGAACGCGCACGCCTGCGTCATAGGCGGGCTGGAGCAAGTTACTGTAGATGTCCAGAGGAACAGTCACGTCGTTGACCTTGATACAAGTCTCAGACGCGAAGTTGCAGTTGGGGTCAGCGTTCTGCATGAGGTCGCTGAAGTATATCTTAGCCGCAGGAGCGATGCCGTTGAACTCTGACGCCTCTGCGACTTCATTTGCGTGTGACGTTGGAGCGAACGCCATGCCTGCGACGGTGCCCGTGACATGCGTACCATGACTGAGCAAGCATGCGTCATGCCTCACACACCCTCCCTGCCTGTGTCCCTCCTCCTTCTCCCTCTCTCTGTCGCTCACCCGCTCTGTCGTCTCCCTGGTCCCCGCAGGGTTTCTGTGGAGTCTTCATCTGCAGGTATCCTCGTAGGAGCAGGTTGATCCCCTGACCATTGGCGACTCCTCGGTTGACGATGATGACCACGTACCCGCCAACCGACGGAGGAAGTAGGAGTCCTCCAGCTGGAGATGTTGGGTTTCTACTGATCAGGTCGCACTGGTTCAGGCACTTAGTGTAGTCCGGGTTTGCCGTCGAGAAGCTCGGGCCGTCTTTCCTCTTCAACACGAACACTTGTAGTTGACCTTGGGCGTCCAGCGCCCCCGAGCCAGGAGCTGAGTACTCTGAGGGGTAGTTGCTAGTGACGCCGATCACGTTGTACTCGATCGAAGCTCCGATCGCATCGTACAGTCTAGGAGCAAAACGTGACTGAGATTCCACCGCAGGAAAGTTGGTGACTCTGCTGCTTCCCGAGGGCAGCAGTCCTCCGGGAGCTACGAAGTCAACCCTGTCCAAGGAGATGTCTTTGGGGCACATGTCGCAGACAGCGCAGTCTTGGATGTAGTTGTAGCTCACTATCTTTCGTCGAGACATGTCGATACTGTTAAAGGGAGGTTGCTTCCCAGCTTCAGGATTCAGCTTCGAGTTGTCTTGATCCCAGTAGAAGCAGTTGTCCCAGTCGATCCCCGTGTCCGCAATGCCAATCACTTGTCCGCTTCCATTCAAACCTCTTTGATACAAGGAGTTGTCTCGACTTCCTGTTCGTGTACCATCATAGAGCATCTGAATGCCGGCTGAGTTGTGCGGGAAGTACCGCAACTTGGGTTCAACAAAAAGCACCTCAGCCCTTAACTGCAGAGTTTGCAGCACCGCCTCTAAGTTCTCATGGCTTCCAACTCGAACTCTCAGGCGATCTTGTGACGCCTGGACGATGTCGACTGACAGCATAGCCAGGATGAAGCTCTCATCAAGGCTGCCTATGATTTCATCTTCCCCCACAAGGATATCACGAGCTCCCCGACGCATGCGCAGGGAAGACCTCACATCTCTAGATATGAGATGTACAATCAGAGACACTTCAGAGTTGGCTCCTTCAATTGGATCATCAAAGTTGGCTCCTTCGCTTGGATCATCAGGGTAGAAAGAATTTTGTATTCTTACTGTCTCCGCGCTCCCAAGGTACTGGGACAGCATATGAGCTTTGTCTCTTTTTCCGACCCACAAAACTCCTGTCAAACTTACAAGGCGCCTAGCCACAGCTTCGCTCGCAAGTATGATATACGCCATGTTAGGCACGTAATGTACAAGCTTCGATTGCAATACTTCTTCTACTAAAGTCACATTTGCATCTTCACTTAGTTGTATGTACCATTGTTCAATAGAATCTCGTTTCCACAATCTTCTCAGATGACTCAGCAAGATTGATTGGTCGCGCAATGAAGGAGCGTTTCTGGTATTGATGGCTTCCCCATTCACGAAGATCTTTCTGGAATCAGCGAGGTCTTGATGGGTTATGGTGTTTGCTGGCACAACTGTTGACACGAGGCAGCAAAGAACAAGGAGAGGAGCGAGAGAAGACAAGAGCTGACAGGGAGGCATCCTCTCGGCCGGTCCCCTCCTCATCATCTCATCCTCTCCTCCTCTTCTCTCCTCCTCCTCATCTCATGTCGTATCACCCCAAGAGCCATTGTAACTTGACCGTACTTGACTTGCAATCTTTCTCTCTTCTACCCCACCCCACCCTTTGTTCCTCATGTTACGCTATACTACCCCGCCCCTTAGCCTATTATACCCTACCCTTAGATACACTACCCCACCCCCACAAGTTGGCTTTTATCGTCTAGAGCCGGCGGGCCGCTCGCAGCCCCGCCGAGTCGAAGGTCAGTGAATCCAGCAGGCAGGATGGTGTAACGGTAAACGTAACCGTATTATATCCGTTACATATGGTTTCACCAGAAGCTGCAGCCATGCCGGAGAAGGCAGGCAAGGAGGGAGGAGGCGGCGGAGGCGGCGGTAAAGCAGCAGGAGGAGATAAGACATCGCAGAGCTTCAACAAAGCTGTTGGCGGAAAGCTGAAACTGAAGGGAGTCGAATTTAAAGGGTGAGTTTGACATATACTTGTATCCCTAAAACTTTATCCGGTTTGATTTCACTAGAATCGTGTCATTGGTTTTATGAACTCCTCTGTTTTAAGCTTCTGTGGTGAATGTTCTTTTCTTTTATGAAGCTATTTCATGATTGGTTTCAATTTGAGCTAATATCATGTTTTTTTTATGTTCAGCAAGAAGATCAAGAAGAGCAAAGATGGTACTCAGACGCTAAACCTTCAAGCAAAAACGCGCGAGGATGAATTGAATGACCGCGTAAAGAAGAAGAGCGATAGATTTTGCATGCATACATAGTAAGTGATCCGATACACTTTCGAAAGTTGAGGCGAATTTTCCTGCGTGAAAACTCAGTATTGACACGAAGAATGTCTGAATTCCATAGCTGATCAGGAGGAAAACTTCTTGGCATCATGGTTTAGACCAATTAAACATGATATCCTGTGTCATTAGAGCTGAAGAAAACAAGGATTCAACAACATTGTTATTCAACACCCAGCTCAACAGGCATGGTATTGATTGTACAACGTTGGATTCTGGGAGATCACAAATGATACAGAAGACGTTCCTGCTTCTTGCGTTGCCCTGGATCGATTTTACTGGCCCTGAAAGCTCTAGCAGGATGTGGAAGGGGAATGTGTAGAGAGAGAAGAGGGAAGTGGAGACAGAGCCGACGAGAGGTGGAAGGCACGAAAAGATGGTAGCGCATTGGTTGAAAGGTAGCACATTGGAAAAGGGGGGAGGGAGAGGGTTGAAATGAAGCATGGACACATGGAGAGCGTGCTGAAGGGAAGCGAGAGCGGGTGAGACGGGGATGAGTCGGATAACTTTGAGATAGAGATCATCGCATGGAGGCCGGCAGGGGAGGACACGCTTTCGGATATGCGAGGGGGTAGGAGGGCAAGAAGAATGCACAGTCTAGTCTCTTCACTTTATCATGGCGGGCAAGGAGAATTTCTTTACCTGTATTTTTTTAATGAGGTTGACAACCATGCTGCTGTTTGCTCGTTTGATGAGCTTCAGTCCGACGCGTTGAACTTCATCTCGTTGTTCCATTTGACACAGTCTTCAGCTCGTTATTCCATTTGATGCAGTGTTCAGCTCGTTATCTGTATAGATATCTCAAGGAACAAGGAATGCGGTGCAGATCATGACCATTTTTCACTTGGTGGTGCAGACAAGTCCGAGGCCTTCGGCTTCCTGGTGTGCTACATGGCGTTATCTCGCTGACCCGAGCACTTGCGCTGCGATGCCCCAGATGAAAGCGCTTCCAGCTCTCGTGCTGGAGTTGGCTGAGAGCGTGTGCATGACGGTCAGACTATCGGCTCTTGTCATCGCTGGCCACTTGTGGGCTGACCTGACCAGTCTGCTCTTGGGAATGACTGCCGGCGAGTTTACACCTCTTTCACTGCACGCGAAAAGATTTGTTTTCATGTCCGAATTGAATTGCGACCATTGAAGCTCGAAAGAGAGCGATATCGAGAACGGCATGGCTAATTGACTATTTCTTCACGGTCACTTTCTTTACTCAAAGTTAAGTTAAAAATCAGCTCGGACTCCAGCGAGTCGGAGAACCAACCCTCATGCTGCCCTCTCAGTGCGACTCAATCGGTGAACAGCGACTTACCTGCCCACAGGCTCACCGCGGTGGCGCCGGGGAGACAAAAGGACTCAACTTAGGCTACGATACGGCCTGAGTCTGTGGCATCGAGCCCGGCGAACTGGCTTTCAATGCTTTATGGACAAAAATCAAGTTCTGTTTCCTGATTCTCGTTACCGTACTATGTACAAGACAAAATCATATCACTCAAAAGGAATCCCACTCGATGTATCTAGTATCTCACTGTTTGTATGTCATTGCTGCGGTATCCCTCAGGCTTTTTGGCGTTTGCTGAGTCCGTATCGCCTCATGAAGCCATTATACCAACCCCGTCCGGCACTGAAATTCAACATTCCCATCCTTCTTGCCAGATCGCTAGCGAACGCTTGTACCTTTGAACGCCGAAGAGTCTGTCCCTCAATCTTGAGCACAAACTCTCTTACTGCTCGCTCAAAGTCTGGTACTTGCAGGACCGATCGCTTCACAGTAGGCTGGACCCCTGTTGCGGCCATTACCTTGAGTTTCATAATGTTCTCAGGTTTTAAGAGTTTTGAGATTGCAGAACGGCTTTTCCCATATGATTTTGCAAATTGTGTGTGCGTTTTGTGCTTGTTGTCGCTGTTTTCATATTGACGAATGATTTCTAATTTTTCACCCAGAGTAAGTTTTGAAGTTTGCCGATTCGCAGTGTAAGGAGCACAGGTTTTCTTCATCTTCATTGCATTCAAGGGAGCCACCGCCGGGGGGCAACCGGCACTGTCGGAATTGAGATCATTCCCATCGATGTAGGAGATATAGGGATTCTTGCTGTCACAACCATGACATTGAGTTTCGTTGCAGATCTCAAGAGACCACTTGACCTCCGATGTCTGCAACACTGCTTCAGACGAGGTTGTTATCCCTTCCGACTGCAGCGTCTTCTTGAGGTATGCATCGAACTCCTCAAGAGTGTGAAACTCGCTTGAGTCATTGTCACTCGAATCAGACAGGTCCATGTTGGCCCATTGTTCACTACCTATAGGCTTTAAGAGCCAAGAGTTCGAGTCCTCGGCACTGGATGATCGAGAGAGGCTGAATAGAGGGGCATTCATAATAGTGACCAGGAAGAATGGGATGAAGGATGAACTGATATTCGCACTGAGGACGAGAGCTTGTGATGGAGGAGGAGCACGAGAGCTTGTGATGGCGGGGGCAGGCGAAGGTCAGACCAACAAAGAAGAGACGGGGAGGGGGGGAGCTCGGGTCGACGAGGCGTAAAGGATGGTGCAAATGATCATCCCAAAGGGTGGGTAGTCAAGGGATGAAGTGGGGGTGGGGGGTATGGTTAGCTATGGTAGAAGAGGTCAGATATACAACTTTATATGTCATCGATAACTTTACTACTGTCTTTACCACACGCAAGAAGTCACTTTTTTACAGGCTGACTGAAGTGACGCCAGCTATCCCTCATCTTTCTTTTAGCCCCCCCTACCCCTCAGCCTGACTGAGTGCCGTGACTTGGCTCCTTTACCCCTCACTGGGTAAAAGAGTCCCCTAAAGCTCTCGAGCATTGACCGCTTTTGACTGGCTGACCCACTAGGCCTACTGCCTGAATGAAGAGTGTACTACTATCACAGCTATCACAGCCTGCGTGCGGTAGCCGCGGTCACTCCCCGGGGGGTTGAAAGCGGCGCGGCCGCAACCGGAGGCTCCGGGGAGTCCGGGCGGCGGGTTGTGCCCCGTAGCCTGTCACACGCGGCCGAGTGACCAGGTCGCTAATACGGTCCGGTACTTCAAGTAAATTTATATCCTGGCAACATATCGCCTAGTCAATGACTTTACTCAAAGTTAAGTTAAAAATCACCTAGTCACTTTTAAAACAAAGTAAACTTCCCGGACAGCTCTGCTCGGCCCGTCGGAACTTCCGAACGGTTCCGGCAGTGTGTGGGCCCGGGCCGGGCATACTGACCGTACACTCCCCCGTAGTACTGACTCTGAGTCAGGTTGCGATGAGTCACAATACCTGATGTATACCCCTCCCTCAGCCTCTAATGAATGGGGTAGGGTAATCTCTTCTCCCCTCCAAAGATGTCGACGCAGGAACAGTCAGCGGCAGGACGGACGAGCAGGAGCAGCAGGAGGAGCAGCAGGAGCAGCAGGAGGAGCACGAGGAGGAGAAAGATATGAGGAGGAAACGAATCAGTACCACGATGGGGAGCAGGAGAAGGACGAGGAAAAGAAGGAGAGGTGGAGAGGTGTTACATGAGCATGTGAAGGAGGAGGCAGGGAAGGGAAGAGGAAAGGCAAGAGTAGCGGCGAGAGGAGAGGGCAAGGAGACAAGAGAATGGCATGGAAGAGTCACAAAAAAGGGAGCGGGGAAGAAAGGTTGACGTGATCTGGTCAGGTTTGGCTGCCGAGATGAATTTTCTCTTCGGGAATAAGTCAAATGCAAAGACGACGGAGGAAGGCATTGATCCTGAGCAAGGTGGATGAGAACTGAAATGAAGGAGAGAGACCAAGGGCGGGAGGGGAGGGGAGGCGGGAGGCAGCAAATGTCATAAGCTTGTGACTGATTGGAGTTGTCATATCAGGGACATCGGTGATGGACGAGAAAAGTTTTGACCCGGACGAAGCTTGTTTCGGTCTTACCTCCTGCTCCTGCTCCTGCTCCTGCACATGATCCTACATGCACCTGCTCCTGCTCCTTCACATGATCCTACATGCTCCTGCTCCTGCTCCTCCTTGCTCATAGCTTGACAGATGTGGCCAGTCAAAAAAGCTTCGATCCAGACGAAGTTCCGGGTGAGAAAAGCAGTACACTCCCTTTGTGAACGCTACCTACCTGCCCTGATCCCCCTTGCCCTTGCCCTTGCCCTTGCCCTTGCCCTTGCCCTTGCCCTTGCCCTTGCCCTTGCTCTTGCTCTTGCCCTTGCCCTTGCCCTTGCCCTTCCCTTGCCCTTCTGTACTTCAGCTGTCCTGTGGCTGAACTCAAGTGCGTTAGATGTGACAAGCGAAAAGAGTTTTGACCCTGACAGCATGGAGAGCACGACGATGAGCGAGAAGGAAGAGGAGGAGAGGGAGAGAGAGCTGTACCTGAAAAAATTGGCAGAGTTTCGACCCGGATGCCATCCGCATCGAAAGGAGCGAAGACGAAGATTCAGAGAAGGTAGAGCAGAAAGGAGGGGGTGATTAGATAGAAAGACAACAGGGAGAAGAGTGCGGAGAGTTTGGGAGGGGAGGAGGAGGGGAACTGAAGGGGGGAATGGCGGTGGAGGAGACAGTCTCATATCCTTTACAGTCCTTTGATGCATCGGAAGAAAGTTTCGACCCCGACGAGATGTCAGACGGCGAGAGCGAGGAGGAGGGAGGAGAAGAGAAAGGAAGCGGTGAAGCTGCGCGGAGGGTGAAGCTCGGTGTGAGCTACGAGAAATCCTTTGATCCTGACAGAGAAGCTCCGGTAAGGCTGAGAAAGGAGGAGAAGAGCTGGACGAGGAGGGGGGGAGGTTGTGATGCTCTACAGGAGGATGGCGGGAAGGAGAGCTCGCGCACTATCTCAGCAGATGTGGCGGAGCGTGCCATGTCAAGCTTGACCAGCGCAGCTTCTGCTGAGATCTCGAGGCTGCGAGGAGAAGTAGAAGGAATGAAGAGGAAAGAGCAGGAGGCAGCGGCCGCTCTTTCTCGCTCCGAGCAGCTTCTTCGCGCTGAAAAGGTCTGACTAGCTGCTCGATGGTGGTGGTGGTGGTGGTGGTGGTGATGATGATGATGATGATGACGACGACGACGACGACGACGATGATGATGATGATGCTGCTGCTGCTGCTGATGATGACTGGACTAGGACTAGGATAGGGA